TGTCCCACTGCTCTGTTGGTCACGCCAGTTGGTAAAACGTGACTTGCCACATTGCAGTGAGGGACATCACAAGAACGATGCTTGAGCATTGTCTTGTTCAGCTTCTTCCTTCTGTGGCAAAGCAGGCAGTACCGGCTTTCCTTACTGGCCTTGTGACGAAGAGTAGGGGACCTCACGCCTGTGATTCAGCTCCACCTAGCACATTCACCTAGCACACCAGCACACAGCAAACTTTTATAAATACTTTCCCTGTCCTACAAGGAGTAAGTAAAAATCACTGATACAGTAATATCCAAAATGAACCTTATGTATACAAAAAAGATATTCCACCATCAGAAATAAGCCGGCAATATGCTACTCTATGCTACTCTACAGCTAGATGGATGCTGTTCGCAAAATATATGCCTCCCAAAATTGCAGATTGCTTGAAGGATTTCTTATTTTGCTTCTGTATTGCTTGAGTTTCGATTTGCGTTTCTGTGCTTTCAATTTAGTCTTCCAAAATACGTATTTTGTAAAAATAATATTTTTTTTTTGTACTTAGCTTTTGTAAGACTAAATAGGATGCAGCATCAATGAAGAGGAAGAATTTCTCAGTTGATTGTGTGAGCAAGGGCAAAACAAATGTTATCAGCCGATTAAACGAGGCAAATCAGCCTGTAAAGTTCATTGCTTCAATCTTTGGTCTCGTTAAATTTATTAGAGAAGCGGGTCACCATTTTTGGAACCATCCATAACAAATAAGTGCGATTGGGCTGAGCTAGGGGGGTAATGCACTGTGGGATCATACCGGGGTGGGGTTAAGTCCTTAGGGGAAATGAGCCTGTTGACGGCGTGTTTGGAAAAGCCCCTCCTCGCTGTGGGAGGCTGTTGAATGCAGCGCAGCACAGGCCCTGTTGCCTCCAGCCCTTCCCCTTTGATTGGCCCCCGTAATGAAAGGCAACGGTGTGGAATTCCGGCCTTAATTAGTGGCACAGCCGGCACAACTCTTGCTTTAGATTAGCGACCCAAAGTGACACATTCCAGGAGGATAAAAAAAGGATAATTACACTCCAAAGAGAAGCCTAATACTTCCTGACAAGCAAGGAATCTGTGCAAGTCCCATTTCTGAAACAAAAAGAGAGAAAGGGGTTCTAAACCTTAAGCTGCATGCACGAAAGCATGTGCATTCAAGCACACCCATACGCATGCCTCTGTTCATGCACAATGGTGCAAACACTCACACACTCATACACAGGCTCCACACAAACACTGATGCTCTGATCCAGTCCTCGTCCCTTTCTCCTGCCATTTGTTTTCACAACTTCTTGTCTCCATGGTGCTCACGGGTCGAGTTGAATCCCCCGGAGGGAAGCAAAAATATCCCAAATCCTGTGCCGGCGACCTGCCTTGCCCGTCCCATCCTGTTCTGTCCTGTCCTGTGCTGGGTGTTCGGAGAGTCATGAGGCGCGAATCAGAGAGCCGAAGCGGCTGAAAAGCGCCAGGGCCTTCAGCATGTTCCCCAAATGTCACGGCCCCCGTGAACGCCTCCCTTTTCCTGCCTGGCGGTGCTCTGCTCTGCATGTATTTATGAGCACAGCGTCCGCTCCACACCCCCGGGGCCACTCAGCCGGACGCTAGCATAGTGCTGCCCTTTGGAAAGCAGATGAGTCATCGCCGCTATGAAAACAAAGGCCTCTCCGTCACATTAACCTGGGACCCTTGGAGGGCGCAGTCGGCGGTGGGTGGTGGTATGGGGGTTGGGGGACTGGGGTTGTTGAGAGGAAATGGTCGTCCCGCCTCTGCAGCATTTCAAATCAACCTTCTCCCCCACAGTGCCTCAAATCGATGGTCTGCAGCTTCCAATCAGACTGTTGACAAAAAGCTTTGACCAGAATTCTGGTTTTGAAATTATCCCTTGCAGAACTTTCTCACAACCTCTGACTTAATTGTTGTGGACCTTTAGGGCTTCCTGGCTTTTACTTTTACCTTAATTGCTAGAGGTCACTCATTTACAAACCTGGTTGAGTAATTTAACTGTGTAATCTGCTGCTTTAATTACTCAATTATTTGCTGTGATACAACAAAAACCAGGCAACCTGGCAGATCTCGAGGAAATGGGCTGGTGGCCCCTGCTTCAGGATGTTACTTTTCGGCCACAGTTTCCACTAATGAGCTTTATGCATCTCCTCATTGCCCTGATGAGATAATCCCTTTCAACACACTTTGACTGCTGTCACATCCAGCCAAGTGTGAGCAAAAATCACCTAAACTTTGCAAGCATGTGCCTCACTCCTCAGTTTGAGATCTGAAGATCTGATGGAGTTTCACACACCCTGGAGGCAGAAGTACTTGAATGAAAGTGGTAATGACTGATATATTAAGTCTTTAAACCTCTCAGAACTCATCCTTGAATTGAAGGGCCATTAACTCTGGTGACTGATGAAGCTAAATATCTCCCAGTGCTGAGTCACGCTAGAGTGATACACAAGGGCTGATTCGGCTCAAAGATCATAACTTGGAATCTGATGCTGTATGTATTCTGATACAGTTAATTTGAGTCTCTGACCACATTTTTTTGTGTAAAAAATGTCCCTTGGGTCCCAAGATGCTGATCTGCCCTTTGGTGTTGTATATTACGGTGCTCCATTCCTGTCACAACATGAACACGGTATAATTTTGTTTTTAGTCACGCATGTGATTTAAAACGACAGCTGTCTTTGCATTGTTATGCATTGACAGATTTCAGCTTAATGTCAGTTATATACTCAATATCACCTTTGGCTCAATGGATAATTCATGATGTGGTTTGCAGGATAAATTATTCTATGATTCCTGGCTTTTCATGTTCATGACAAACTTAGACCTAAACATGAAATATTATATTCTGCTGGCCATATCCTTAAAGCTGTATTTTCACAACTTTTGTTAAGGCTTAAAGGTCCCCTATTATGTCACCAGGTGCACAGCCAATTTGGTCATTACAAGCCGTTTCAATTTCTTTCCCCTCTTGACATCACGTGGGGAAGTAAAAAACCTGAGGCAAGAAGAACCGATCGACTTCAGCCAAGCAGTCAATCAGATTTCATTATTCTGGGTGCACTGGTCACTCCCCCTTGTGATGTCAGGAAGAGGAGATTTTGAACTGGTTCATAATGGCTAATTAGCTGTGCACCTGGTAGCATAATAGGGGACCTTTAAAATGCAGTTACCAATGTGTCTTATACATTTTGCAGTTGACTCACCAAGATTTCATGCCTCTGTGATGAAGAGGAGGTCTTTGAAATTTACCTTCCTGCACCCTTTGCCCAGTGGCAAGCTTTCATATCCATCTATCCTCCATCTGTAAAGCATTCACAATCTCCCTCAAAACTTTTAATGCTGATTTCTCAAAACCACTCCTCTGACATACCTTTTAACAGGCCGTATCTCCAAAGCAGTTTGATTAATTTTAGCAAGTGATGACTGGTTTAGTATCTCTGATCTTTTGATCTCACGAGGAATGAAAAACAAAAAAAAAAAAATTCAATTTCATTGATACCCCCTGTCACATATGTATTGGCAATGGCTATCATCAGTTAATGGAATATTGTGCATGGATCTTCTTCCATAACAACACTTAAGCAGAACAAACACATCTTAATTTGGGATTTAAATGACAACATCATACTTTGACTAGAGTTTGAAAACATAAATGGCATGTTTACATTGTTTTTGAGTGTGTTCATGTATACAGCTGTAATGAGAGCAGCAGGGGAATTTTTGTGACTCATCCTTACTGTAACCGCACTCTGAGTGGGGAATAAAAGAGCAAGTTTGTTTTAGGTTTAACCGTGATTACATGTCAACAGATGTTTAGTCTTTAGCCCCTCTATTTGTTTACAGTTAGATGTAGAGTATGCTTCCGTTAGTTCATGCATGAAAGGATTAGTTACGGTGCACTGCAGTTATTACAGCTGGTTACACAATGCGCTACGCGACTGAACTTGATTTTTTTCGTCTGGTTTGTGGTCCCCCTCTCCAGTTAAGCATGTGTAAGCACTGCATTGTGCGGTCAGACGAGGAAACCGATATATTTGTTAGTCTTTGTAGAATCTCGGGACAAACCATTTACTCTGTTGTCCTGATGTCAAGTCGGGTCTCCTCCCCACTTCCTGTGTGGAATCCAGGTGGATGGTTGTGGTGAAACGCAAGATGGAATTTGCGGGGTACATCTTACGTTTGTATTCGTTATCCCGCCATCGGTCATGTCAAGCACATGGGCGTAGTCATCGCTGTTCTGCTCTGACTAGATTGACGCCGACCCTTAGTAGTTTATGAAGCTCTCTGTCAGAGATGTCTGTATTTAAAGTGAAACGAGCATCTTGCATCTTTTTTTTTTTTTGGTTTCACCGTCTAAGTCGCCTTAAAGTATTTCCCCCACGGTGGTTGGGGCTGTATTGTAATTTGAACATGTATGTTGTAAATGATAAGCCTTAAGCTGTATGCAGTTGACAGCATTAATTAACTGCTAGCTGTGAAAATGTAACCCATTGTGAACATCCTGAGCGATAGTGAAGTGCTTTTATGACATTCCTTTATTCCGGAAGGCTCCGAGATGATTGACATGAGTCCCCCCCTTGCCACCCCTCAGAGCCAGTGCTGAGTGGCTTATTTTTGAGTGACGGCATGGTGGCCGGGGTCTTCGCTCCTCAGAGAGATAAAGACCTCCGGGACCTGGCCCCAACGGCCCCCGTGCCATGGGGCCACCCCTCTGGAGGGCCAGAGTGAGGGGGGGTCTGGCCCCTGTGATGATGCTGCCATTGTTCCCCCCCATTACGTTAATGCTGCCTCCACAAAGGCCTGCTACGGAGATGAAAACATCAGGCGGCGAATTGCGCCTGACCTCTGTTTCTCAGATTTACGCTCTCAAAGCCTCCCAGACAATACCATGCCCTTCCTTTGAGCTTGTTCTGACCTGTTTGCGTCTGTGCGGAGAGTGTGTGTGGTGTATTCGCATTTGTGCGTTTGTGTCTGCATGCGGCAGGGTAGCCTAGTGGCAGGGCGCTTAATTGGTAACTGAAGAGTTATGGTTCAAGTCCCTGGTGGGGCTAGAGATTCTCTCTCATTTTGGAGAGATGAAGTTGGAAAGAACTCTACCTTTGGGCCCTTGAGCAAGGCCCTTCACCCCAAATGGCTCCAGGAGCACTACTACTGTTTCTGTCTGTCCCTTTTCTCTTGTAACTATTCTCTCTGTAAATCCTCCCAGGGCATCCATGAATAAGAGAAACGTGTTCTCGATGGAATTTCCCCAGTTTAATAAAGGTTAAAAAAGATTGCCCATGTGTGGGTGCGCGTTTGCGTCATTATGCAGTGTATGTCCACACCTGTCCAACCGACTCTGCGAATTAATGTGAATGTAATTGTGTTAGATTGTTAAAGCACATGTGTGCTAATTTGCGTCTGTGCGTCATGGATTCTGTGCATGGACATGTCTGTGCCAGCGGGACTGGGTGGGAATGGCGAATTGGGAAGGGTAGGGCAAAAGCACGAGACATTGAATATTCCTATGAGGAGTTCACTGAAAACTTCTGCCCTTGAAATGCAGCTAATTCCCGCATGAATACTTGGAAAGGTACAGTTTCAAGGTTTTTCTGCAGCCTTTGAAAGCTCCAGCTCCTGCTCTCTCGTGTCCGTGGAGAATGTCCTGCCCTGAAAGCACAATACTAAACTGGCTCCAGTGATGCCAGGTACCTGGAGGTCTGCTCCTGTATTAATGACTTACTTGGCTGCCCTGGTACATGGTACATAGTGGGCTCTTTCCTCTGCTCTGAAAAAAAGTCCAGTGGAGTAAGTTTCTTCCAATTGAAGAAAAGCTTGTGGAGTGAGAACTTCTCACGAAAAATGAAAAACTACTTGATTTTGACATTTGGAATAATGGTAATTGCTAGCGTTTCTATGACAGTGGCCAGCAGATTTACGCCACGCTCAATTAGTTTAATTAATTAGCGACTTACAAGGTTTTTGCTGAGCATAATATCCAATGCCATACATGATAGTATGATAACGAAGAGTGGAAAAATACAGTAAGGGTCAAACTCAATATCTGCCTAAAGTGACATACTGGGATTTTAAGAACCCTGGAGCCCTCTATAATGGGAAGGTTGTTGACTCTCCAGTTACACAGTTGGTATCTTACTGGCTGCTGTGTACCTGGTGGGCTTCAATGATCATCTAAGCGTACATAATCTCCCCCTCTATAGCCAGGCTACTCCTGACATTTCTTCCCATCAGAGCACTCCCGCTTATGCTCGCTATTTTGCGGGTTCAGGCCTAGTTTTTAGGCCCCTGCGATAGATGGCTGGGGGCATTTAAGGTTACCCTTGTCCGTTCGTGCGTCCGTACATCCGTACATCTGTACGGGGTTGATCATGTTGATAAGGGGTATCGTTTATCCACTTCTTCTCAAAAACCGGTCAACAGAATTCATTGAACTCACACATGTCCTTTATAGGGACACTAAAGGTGTGCATCTCATACCTGTTTCTGAATTTTAAAAATTTTGATGATTTTTGGGTGTTTAAACTTCACTTACTTTTGTCAAATTTCACTCTCCCTTTGCTGTAACAGGAGGTGCAGTCTATCCACTTCTTCTCGGAAACTGCTTTACAGAATGAATTGAGTGTATACATGTGCTTTGTAGAACTCAAAAGGTGTGTGTCTCATACTTTGTTTTTAATTGTCCAAAATTTTTATCATTTTTCAGGTGTTTGAACTTATCGAAAATTTTGTTGACTTTGTGGGCATCTGTATCTCATGGACACAAATTTTTTGTTTGCAACTCTATTAGGTGCCTGTCTGATGATGAATATCTGTGAAAATGACCCTACAAATGAAATATACTTGACGTGACAGCATGGGGTGGAAATGGAGACAGGGAATGCGACGATGCGCCATGTGCGCAAATAACAGGGGAGCCATATGGGGCTAGTTTTCCACATGGATTCTTCCTCTGCAGGACACTGCTGAGGGATTTCCCTGCACCGACATGGTGCTTATGTAACAGGAAGAGGAACTAAAATGACCGCGGGCTTCCCGCACTGACTGCCTCTGTCTAATTCATCAAAGCTGGCATCTAGTCATTGGTGCGATTCTGTTTAGACTGCCTTCTAGTGCGCAGGTGTGCCCTGTTTGGAGTAATTGGGTATGGGGCATGAATAAATGTACACGTGTTCAGAGGCAACCATGTGATGGTGCACGTGCAAAATGCCAAAAGCCTTATTGGTTTTATGAGGCTGAGAATAGTTTCAATGACCTCTATGTGAAACTCTCTCAGTTTATTTATGATTTTGCTGCCAAATTGCTGGTTTGATATTTTGTATGAGAAGTGATGGGATGTCTGGATGTCTGTGAACCAATACCGCCCGTGTTCTTACTTGTATAAATCCATTTAATGGAGCTGTGTCTTAGAAAATAAGATCTCTTATAGTAATAAAGTTTTTTTTCTCTGAACAATTATATTATTCTCTGTCCCATAAGGATAGTTGGTAGTTTATTGGCTCTTCTGTTTGCAGTACTTTTTGTACGTGCCCTTTTCAGATATAAAAACATCTTTTGAGTGGTCTTATACTATATTGTGTTTTATGCGATTTCTGAACGAGAGGTGATTTTTGGCCTCGCTCTTGCAGAATGAGATCATTTCCTTCAGTTTAATCCTGCAGACTGCCCTCAAACAGCCTAACACAAATGATTGACCAATCCAACTCTGGAGCTAAAGATGGTCATTGAGAAACAATAATGAGCTGGTTGTGGGAAATAGGTTTTTGGCCAGAAAATACCTTTGTTCTTTCAGAAGTTCATGACTGCATTGACCTTTAGAAAGGTGCAAGAGTGTATTAGTGTGAAGGGTCTTCATTATATCAAAAATGTGGCACCATATCAGAGAATATGTAAGGCATCCTTTTCTGCATGTCCATCCTATTATGCCAAATGCACTCTGGGATACTCTGACCAAAATGTTCTGTTTCTGTCTCCTGTTGCAAGGAATCCAATCATTGCCAGTCGGCACCATCTCAACTTTCAAACTCACACCTGACCACAGATGTGCAGTTTGAAAATAGTGCGTGGAAGCACATGCCAAAGTATCTGTATGATTTCAAAAGATTCTGAACCGAAGAGGCGTGTGACACAGTTTTCTGAGATCGCCTGTCCAGATTTAAATTGATTAATTAAAGGAGGTGAATACTTTATAATAAACAAATTACTGTGCGGAGAAGGTAAATCTTTCTCTGGAAGTGAGTTTTGCTTCATAGTTATTGGCTGAAAAGTTCCCCTTCATGTGCCCTGCACTCCTGTCTTTACTCATAGGGGGGTTTAGCTCGGGGCCGGCAGGTCGAGCGCGGCAGTTCAGAAATCTCCAAGCTGTTTTAGTGGCTCACTCACTTGAGGAAGCGGTTTACACTCATTTGGTGCAGCACAAAAGCACTTGGACAGTGGTGTAATTGCGTGCTTTTTTTTATCTCAGTGCTTGAACACACAGGTTTAAAAAACGATGAATGTGAGGATAAGGCAGATTCTGTCCGCTATACTTCACGGGTATGTACATTTATAATGTGTGAGCGGTGCTGAAATTTCTGCTCTTTTTATACAGTGTCACTGTCCAAATACTTATGGACTGCAGAGTAAGTTAGCGGGGAATGTATCTGTGCTGAAGAGGACTGAAGCCTCTCGCTCTTTGTCTCAGAGGGTGAGCCATGATGAGCATGCCGTTGTTTGTTTTGGATTGATGATCATGTAGCCTAAGCTCGGTTGTTTTGGGGGGAAAGTCCCGATTAGTCATTATCTTGAAGAGCACCCCCCCCCCCCACCCCCCTTTACCCTGCTTTTCTGATTTTCCCTCCTGTATGCGGATTATGTACAACTATGTCTGGCTTTGAGCAGGAATAATAGCATTCTTTGCTCCGGTGTGGTAACTGGATCCCCAACAGTGGAGAGTGACTGTTAAAGCCGTTATGATGCCAGTTGTCCTCTCAGTCTGAATTTGTGGCATTAGTGTGAGTTAAAAAAAATAAAAATTGCCTTTTGCTAAGCCTTTCATGTATAAAAGGTTGAAAGCAAAAATTTTGCGAAATTGCTTCACTAAAGAACTATTATTGTGCTTTCACCCCTGTCTTCTGACCTAAAGTTGAGGGCTCGGGGACATTCTCATTCACAATGGTTTTGGAGTTCATTGTTGTAAATGGCAGAGACACGTGAACCTCAAGGAATTCATGGAACTCAAGCTGACTGAACAGTTTTTGAAACTGTGAGGGATTTTTGGCCAAAGTTGCTCATTCAGTAAGAATTTTCCCCCCACATGATCACCAGAATTGCGACGGCAGTGGTATGGGTCCAGTCTGGGAGCGTTTGTAGACCCTGTGCCCAGTGGCTTCCGGTCTCCTCAACACTTGTCTTGTCCCAATACAGCCAGGATGAAACTGTGTGTTACGCTGTAATCCTTCCCCCTTGAGTGTTGGCTTCCTTATCTGTGCCTTGAAATGGGGCAGCTAGATGACGCAGGTTCCTATGAGGCAAAGAGAATGAGTAATCTTTAATTTTCAATGAAATATTTGTCTGAATCAGATACAGCATCTCTCAGAAGGTAGGGCCTTCAGTCAAAAGGTTGTTCCAATGCCTCACTCTGTAATGGAACTACTGAGGGTTTTGAAGGGCCCAGCGAAATCATAGAGGACACTTTGGCACTGAGACTAGAGTCCCTAGGTGGAGAGAGTCATGACAGCTCAAGAATAAGAGCCGTTTAGTTTCCATCACGTGAAACTGAGCCGTTTTGCTCAATGGAAATTGCTGGATTTTTTTCGTTCTTTTCTCAGGGGTGAAGTATATTAATTTTGCAGGCAAAACAATAAACTAGCTAGCAATGGTATGGACAAGCGTGAGAGGGGAAAATGTTTGGACATGAGAAAAGAGAAAAGGGGGGTAAAGAACTCATTCTTTTTTAGACTGTGCTCAATAACGTGATGGAAACAAAACGGCTTAGTGACCGTATTTTATGGAACCTTCATGTCTCAACTCTCGATCTAGGAACTGTAAGTGAGACAAGCCTGCTGCTTCAGT